GACTCTTCCCTTACCAGTTACTGGGACAAGATGAAAGGAACTAAAATCACTGAAATACTACCTGACATCTACATAACAATAGACAATATTTTAGAACTGTGAGAAAGCTTTTGGCATGATCAACTAACATGTTCTAATGTTGCCACCTTCTACTAGACATTAGCCTTTAGCCAACTGCTGGCAAAACCTAAACTGAAGACATCCATGCCAGTTTTTGCACGTTAAACTTCCTAGCAGAGCAAAGGAAGCCGTAGATGACAGAAGGAATGATCACACTGGTGTACAAAACCAAGAAAGTGATACAATAACCACCTGAAATTCAGCTCATTTTCAGCATGTGTAATGTAAATGGCTAGTGTTCTAAAAACGTCTAAAATGTTGTTCAATTCTAAAATTTATATCACGCGACTTGAGAGCAGAAGTAACAACTTGGCATTATAGTATTTAGATGGGGAAAAACATTCCTCAAAGAGAAAAATGGAGGAAGAAAAGAGACAAGAAAAAAAGGGAATCAAAAGCACACTTACTGCTGTAACCTTGGATTTTATGCTTTGCCAGTAGGTTTTAACATCATAGATATTGCTCATAGACAAAGTATTCCATACACGGATCATGCTATCTCCAACACCAATGGCAAGACAGCCTGGATCCACAGGGGAGAAAGCAAGACTATAGACGAATCCCCCAAGTGAAGGCATTGTCCAGCTACAATCCAGAGTTGATAGGTCCCAGCACTTTACCTAAAAATATTTAAAGAACAACGAATGGTAAGTTCAAAGTGACTGGTATGATAAGGGAAAAAAGCAAAGCACAAGTGAGAGGAAGACTCAAAGTACACAATCTCCACTCAGAGCAGTACATGTCAAAGACAGGGCTGTAATAACTGCAAGACTGTGATGGAACAGACAAAAAGACTACAGTTTAATTAGGTAGTCCTCTTGTGAATTCAAAATAGCAGGCTCTCTGGTGCCTGTAGAAGGCAAAAAAAAAAAACCCCAAAAAACAAATCAAACAACAACCACCCTTCCCTCCTTAGTCACCCCCTCCTCCCACTCCCCCAACAAAAAAAAGGTAGATATCGTGAGCTCCTGCTGCTAAACATTTAATTTTTAAGTCCATAGGGCATAATCATTCTGTCCACCACGGTAAAAGCTTGAGCTTATAAGCTAACAAAGAAATGCACAACTTGTGCTCAGAAGAAATGTTGAGCCATGATGTTATAAAAGACAGGATAAGCCTGCTTTAGGAGAAAATAAGTGGTCATCAAAGCCACAAGTTAGTTTCACTCAATCAAGCTGAACTGCCGCTGCTATTTTGATGTTAATTTTAAAAATGGTTCTTACATCTCTGTCCATTGAAATGGAAAGAAGCAGCTCTTTGTCTTGATGCTTCAGGGAACACAGATTGAACACAATACGGGAGTGATTTTGTCCTTCTGAAGATCCCAAAAGTGTCCACTTGCGTTTTCCAGGTTGGGTCAAATCCCAGTGTAGCAGTTCTCCTCTGCAAAATTTAAAGTGTGTAAATTTCATTCTTCATTTCAAAAAATAATACGGACTATCAGTGCTAATGCACATCTATTCCTACCCACTATCTCGCGATACCAAGAAGGAAGGAAGATGGGGGTGTCAGTGTTTCCTGCCAGTTGTTCTTTAAATATCGATAAATTAATTTACACTTAACGTGCTTTGTCTCCTACTTACCCAAAAGAGCTGGATACAATTTCTGTGGGACGACCACAAGGCCAGTGAACAGTGAGCCAAATACGCTCTTTAACAGCAGGATCAACAGCTCCCCCTCTTCTCTTTGTGGGTGGCAACTTCAGAGTCATTATACCTTTGGAAAAGAAAGGGACCATCTCGACTTTGTACATCTGAATTCTCAGAAAAAAAAGACCTGTGAATCTGAAGCTTTAAGTAGGTTCCCCCCTCTTTAAACTATTGGGTTAGCAAATGAAACCTACAGTTAGATAAGGAGCACTTCACCCATATTGTTCTCACTTAAATTATTAATCTTACTTACTTCTGCCTCTAGTACAGCTCCATATTCGTATCGTCTGATCTTTGCTTCCTGAAGCCAAGTAACAACTTTTCTTCATGGCTGTATCTTGTTTAAGCTCCCCATTTGGAACGTCACCTTCTTCTGAAGGAAACACCATTGAAGTCTGTTATACTTTAGAATTCAAAGCTCTAAACATAAACTGAACATCTATTGCTCTGGATCAGAGAATATTTTAACTGAACTCATCAGTTCTCTCTGATTAGCTACTTACTGACTTTACAGGGATAAGGAATTCAGTTCTCCAAAGGGACGTTTTCCTGAGCTAAAAAAATCACTTCACAGACTATGTATCACTTTTATGTACCTTGGAGCTCATCTTGCCAAGCAGGTAACCTTCCTTCACCAGGTACAGGGCACCAGGCCAGGCAATGAATTTCATCGTCATGACCTCTCAGCCGATGAAGAACTTCTTTTTTCCTGCTGATATCAATTATAACCACCATGCCATCCTTGTAGCTAAAAACAGAGATTTCAGTTAATGATAGATTGTTAGACCCTTGTGAAAGAACACCTAACCCAATTTCCAGGCTATTACCCAGGATCAGTATCTCCACATTACAGAGAAGCCCAATCACAAGTGGCAATGAGACCAGTCAGCTGGAGCTCAAGTATAGCACCAGCATAACAACAGCTGCCTTCTGTTGTTATGTGTGTGATGCCACAAGTATATTTGGCTCCAAGAATAACACCAATTTATTAGCAATACAGTTTTCAGAGTCTTAAAAAGTAATAGTGGCTTTTATAAGAGAAAAACTTTTCCCTTTTCCACAAATAACTTTCATTCTCTCCATCTCTCCCATCTGAAAGGCTTTCACATTCCTGCTTCATTCAATATAGTCTTGGGTGTCCAAAGGACTGGAATAGCAACTGTTGACAAAGAGCTAATAAAACTATGAAACTCTTCAGATGAGATACCCTGTAATGTGATGAACATTAATGAAATCCAATTAAAAAATATCTGTTTTAAGTAACTTCAGAGTTTAAACCAAATTCATTTATGTAAATGGTTATAGAATTGTACATTTTGCACATCTACCAAAATATTATTTCTAAATTGTTTTCTACAATTTGGAATACAATGAAAAAATAGCCACCAAAACTTCTTAAAAGTAACCTTACAACTGCACAACAAAAAATCCAAACAAGACACTTTCAGATGAAGAACGGAAAGCAAAACGTAACGCTTACCCAATAGCCACCAGGTTTTCATGATGGGGAGAACAAGTGAGACAAAAAATTGTCCGAGGCTCTGGGAAGAATTGCTGGCTGTCACTTCTGCTATGCCAGTAACAAACAATTACCCCTTTTTCATCACCGGATACAATCAGATCTTTCACAAGGGGTGACCAGTGTAACGCTGTGATTGCATTCTGAAGAAAGACAATTGAATACATGTAAATCCATTGAGCACGCCTGGCCACGAAATTCACTTTGTGAACTAAAGCACAACGAAACTGGCGAGGGGTCTGGAGAACAAGTCTTATGAGGAATGGCTGAGGGAGCTGGGATTGTTTAGTGTGGAGAAGAGGAGGCTCAGGGGAGACCTCATTGCACTCTACAACTTCCTGAAGGGAGGTTGTGATGAGGAGGTGTTTGGCCTCTTCTCCCAGGCAATAAACTGGACCTGAGGGGATGGCCACAAGTTGTACCAGAGGAGGTTTAGATTAGACATAAGGAAAAACTTTTTCCCTCAGAGAGTGGTCAGGCACTGGAATGGCTGCCCAGGGAGGGGGTGGAGCCGTCATCCCTGGCAGTGTTCAAGAGGGTCTGGTTGAGGAGCTATGAGATATGGTTTAGCAGCTTGTGGTAGCAATGGTGATGGGAGGATGGTTGGACTAGATGATCTTGTAGGTCCTTTCCAACGTTGTGATTCTATGATTCTATGAACATAAAGTGAAGAGCATTTAGCAGGAGGCTCTTCTGGGATGGAAAACAGAACATTGCTCAAACAGCCTGCCTTCACTGGCTGCCTAGAGATCATCCTCAGAGGGAGGTGAGGTGCTGGTGCCGCTGCCCAGGAGCCGGGGGTTCCCCATTGCTGAAGGTGCTCAAGGCCATGGATGATGGCTGATCTGCTGGGAGGTGTTTCTGCCCACAGCAGCGGGTTGGAACCAGAAGGGCTTTGAGCTCTCTTCCAACTCAACCATCCTGTGACTGTACAGCCCAGGATAACAAGCAGAAACTAACCTGCAAGCACTCCCTGTCCTAAACTATTCGAGCTGCCGTTTATCTGCCAGTCTCCCGAGCCACACTAACAGCCACGTGCCCTGTGTGAGACGCCAGGAGGCTGCAAAGCGAGCAGGGCGCGTCACGATGCCGTACCGGCAGCGCACACCTCAGGCTAAGGAAACAAGCGGCTCCACTCCGCCCGCCGCACATCGCTCCGAACCAAACCCCGCGGCCCGGCTCCCACCTGGTGCAGGCCGTGCTCCGCCCGCAGCGCCAGCCCCGCCGCGTCCCACAGCCGCACGCTGCCGTCGTCCGAGCCGCTGGCGCACAGAGCGCTGTGCTCGCGGTGCGGGCAGAAGGCGAAGGCGGCGATGCGCTCTGTGTGCCCGATCAGCTCCCCTGCACCGAGAGAAGCGCTGTGAGAACGCGGTTTCCCCGCACCCGACCGGAGCTCGGCCGCTCCTATAAATACGGCGCGCAGCGAGAGAAGCGATCGCGGCCGTACCGTGAAACGTCGGCGTAGCGGCGCTAACATCCAGCACGCTGATGCGGTGCCTGGCGGCGAAGCCGAAGAGCCGCCCGTCTCCGCTGGTGTCGCTGCAGCGGCTGCAGTACCAGTTGGGCGAGGCGGGCAGCACCCGCACGGCCGCCGCCATGGCCCCGCGCCGCGCCGCCGCCGCACGCTCGCCCCGGGAGCTCCCGCCGAGCAAAGCGTCGCAAACTGTCGCAAAACCGCCCTCCCGCCCGCCTCGCTACTCATGCGCAGGGAGCGGCCGCCGTAAAGCGAGGCGGGGAAGATGGCGGCGCGCTGCGCGGGAGGTGCGGGTGAGTGTGAGGGGACGCGGTGCTCCGCTCGTATCGCTCGCTCCTCCCCAGGCTCACCTCGTTTCTTCGTTGCAGGTAGCGCCTGGGTGCGGGGCCTTCTCGGCTGGGTGCGGCCGGAGAGGTGAGTGCGGGGCTCCGCCGTCCTTCAGCAGGCCGGGTGGGGGCTGTGTGCGTTGGGCCGCTCCGTCTCTGTGCCCGTCTTCCTGCGCGCTCTGTGGCACGGTGAGGGGCTCTCGTTCGGCCCCGTTCTGTCCATCGCGCAGCTTTTTCTCTGTTTGCGTGGTTCAGAGCGCATCTCCTGCACCTATCTGTGTTCTCGGTCACTGTTCTCCTGCATGGCCGATCCTTTGCTCTAGAGGAGCAGCGTAGGCATGTTGGGGAGTGCTGGTCGCTGCCTGCTGCACCCGCGGTTCCAGAAGAAAAGCTGAGAGCGTGGTGCTCAAAGTGCAGAGTCTTTGGTCTCTCCCAGAGCCTGTGGAGGTCAATCACAGAGATTGTCACTGGAGAAAATGAAGTAAAGGCTTATGTTGTTCTTGTGTTACTGTCCTTCAGCTCAGCTGAATTGCTTCCCCTGATCAGCTTTTCTATTCTGTTGTCTCCCACCTGTTGCTTATGAATGCTTCTTCCTATAAAGTTATGTAGTATGAAACTTATTTAAATGAGCCTCTTAGTTGTAAAGTATAAAGGCTTCTGTTGCTTGTCACTTTCTTTTCCTTGCAATGTGTTTGTGTCCTTGTTTCTCTCTTGGAACTATGGTAACTAGAGTTGTTCTCTGGATTGCCTTAAGATACAGAATGTAAGGTTCCTCAGTCTGTCAGGATTCTCATGTTCTGCTGATGCCTGGAGGATAAAGTTTATTTCACTGTTAGCCTGTGAAACTGCAAAGTGATATTTATGTGCTGGTCAAATATTGTCCTGTACTGATTGATGATATGATGTCTGGTGATCATAAACTGTTGTTTTACTAAATAACTGGGGAAAAAATGTGCCTAACACATTTATTTAGCATCCTGCTCCCTATTGTGAACACTTTCTAAGGTGTACGATGCTTTCGTGAAACTGTTCAGTGCGTTTTGTTTGCCAGAAATTTTAAAATGTTTTGCACAACTTGGCAACCCATACAGAGCTGTTAGAGCCTCGTTAAAGCTCCATGAGTTTCATTTTGAACCCGTCGATTTCTTGCTATTGTGAGCAGCTGCCTCGTACTGCTCTGCCTGGTCAGCAGGGGGCAAAATGCAGCTCAGTCTTTGTGAATCTGAGTGAGCAAACTGACTGGAAGCTGTAGAAAGTTTTATATTTGCTGTCATCTATCTTGCATTTGTTTCCTTGCACTTTGAAAGTTGAGATTATTTTCCCTTTCAAATTTCAGACACGATAAATGCTTACACACTTTTGATGCTTTTTTTTTCTACATTCTCAATTCCTTAGAAAGCTACAAATTATTGCAGTTAGAAGGTTTGCTGTTAAAAGTTAGATGAGTAGTAGTTAGTCTTGAGAAAATTACAAGACATGAACTCCTTATGCAAGTAATGACCGCACCCAAGAAAAGAGAGGTAATGGTGTCTGCGTGATGATCAGGGGACACCTGGTGCTATATGAATGTAACTTAAGCTACTTGGCATGCCATAGGAAGTGTTTTGTTAAATTAAAAAGCTCTTCAATGTAAACTGTAAAGGACTTTAACAGTGTTACTTTGAAAATAGTCAAATGTGTCAGTTCTCTTTATGAAGGCAAGCAAGATCACGATTGTTTAAGATAGTCTGGACAGTGGCAAAGAGCTTTCATGTTCAACAGCGGTAACTGTGTGGTGTTGTCTTGCAGGTGGTTTGCAGCTGGTAGTGTTTTCCCGTTGTCATGCATCCACACAAGTACGTCCCTGCAGAAACTTGGGAAGTGGGAGAAAAAGAACAGGATTGTTTACCCTCCTCAGCTGCCTGGGGAACCTCGCAGACCAGCTGTAAGCACACACCTGCACCTTTCTTTACATGCTTGTGTTTAGCAATTTCAAAACAGATTGTCTCTGGATGACTCCACAAGGCACAAGTCTGGTTGCTTTCTCATTGATTATTTAAGATTTTATTCTGTTTCGCATATTGAAATTGTAGGAGTTCACATCACTTTGATTATTCTCCATTTCTGACTTAATTGGAACTTGAAGCTGCTGTGCAGCTGATAGTCTTCTCAGCGTATTGCAAACTGCAGAGATGCCATCCTCTGCTTGTAGAATTCTCTGAACTGTGAAGAGAGAGAAGTTGCCAAGAATGTGGTGTTCTACACTTGTGCTGTTCATCCAGCAGTAGGTAACTAGTAAAGAAGACAGCTGCATAAAACTATAAATGTAACTTTCCCTTAGCAGTGGAACTAATGGTACCCGTTTAAATAGAGTGCATGCTTTTTTAATTTCTTGTTTTCTGCGTTATAGGATTCTCTTAGGTTTGATGTTCTGTTGCATCTTGCTGTGGCCTCCCTCTTAATGGGGCTGCTCATAGGTTGTCTACTCTCATAATGGTCGCTTCATTTGTTTGACATGTGTGAGAGATTGTAAAGTTGTGTGGGGACAGACATGGGAGTCAGGTAAAGAATGTGATGGCAGAAGTCTCCTTAAGAAATAATTTTGTAAACACTGTGCAGTGGAATTGTTCTTCAGTCTGTTGCACAATAACTTCTGTTTACTAACCCATAAATAGAAGCAAAGAGGCTAAAATCAAAGAAGGCCTGATAGCCATTCAAGACAACTTTTGCAGAAGTCAGTTTAAGTAACATGATTGTTTTTAAAACGTAGTTATAACAGATAATAGTAGTTTCTGATGGCAGCAAGTTCATGCATGCTTCTCCCTGTCCCCTCTGCTTGATCATTTCATAGCTGGGAATTACAGATAAGTGTGAATGGAAGCAAGTTTTTTTATTTGAGTCATTCATGGAAAGTTAAGTGTTGTCTTTGGTCACTGAAGGAAGGAATCAATACTGTTTTCTCTACACCTTAACTTGAGAGAATTTTAGGTGAATTTTTCAATGTTTCCTCATTCTTGAAAACTGATGTCTGGTATTTTCCTATGATTCTGTGATTTTCATTTTTTTTAAATTGTACTTGGAAGTGATGTCTTGCCTCCTCTGTTAGAGGTGCTGCTCAACAAAATAAATTATTCGCATCTCACAAGAATCATTTTTTCCTGACATGCTTTTGTGAGCCATTAGCATTTATCACCTCTATCAATATTGTGGCCTAGAATTAGAAATACATGCTGTGTACAGTGCTGACTAGTGCAATATATACATGAAAATAGAGTTACCAACCAGCTCACTTAAATCAATTATTTTCCTGTGTGTAAAAGATTCCATGTCCTTCAAATTTGTATCGATGTTAAATTTCACTAGCTGCTTTTGCTCTCCTGGTGCAGTAATAACGTTAAACGGCCCTTTGGAGACACCTCATCATGTCAATCAAACTCAAAACCCTCCTCACTTCTGAAGAGCTAATTAAATTCTTTGGTGTTGAGTTGCTATCCCAGCAAGATGGTGTGACAGCACAGTAATACTTTTAAGACTGAACGGGCACATTTAGACTGCGTCAAAAGGTGGGGAGGAAAGAAAAGATGAAAAAAAAATAATAATATGGTTTTCAGGACCTACTTATAAACTAATTTAATTCTTATAAGATTGTATTGAGGTTTACTGTTATTATACAGTATTAAAGTTTACAGTTTAAAATGGCAACAGTATGCCTGACTTGGTGTGTTCAAGGTATGAGTAGTAAGGGAGAGCTGTTCTTCTTTTACTCCTCAAAAAAAATGTGTGCTGCAGAGCAGACATGTATGCTTCATTTTGTTCTCACAGTAAAATTACTTGTCCTCTCTTTTATGCACCCAGGAAATATATCATTGTCGGAGGGAAATAAAATACAGCAAAGATAAGATGTGGTATCTGGCAAAACTGGTAAGCAAAAGTGCTTATTTGTTCTGAATTTTAGAACAAAATTTAATTGTTGTATTTGCTTTAACAGTCTAGTTCAATCAGAGTGTAATCAGTATCTGTATGATAGAGTACTGTGGATGCAGTTGTGCAGCAGGCAGTTGTTTATAGTTTGGTTTAGCCACTTTATCTTAATCTGAGTATGCTCTCAAATGTGTACTCAGGGATGTTTGGAGCAGAGTAATTGCTTTTTTTTCGCTCTGAGAAAAGACAGTTAAAAAAAAGTTGAATAATTTATCATTCAGCATTTAGCTGAGAAGAATTGTATGTATGATACTGCGCTGAGGAAATGTCTGTTAAGGAAGCTTGAGTCTTCTGATTTGTTCTTTGTAACAGCAAAATAATTTAAAGACTGTCTTTTGAATAAGAGAAATATTTATAATTACACAAGTTAACTTTAACACTTTAATTGCAGATTAAAGGAATGTCCATTGATCAAGCTCTTGCTCAGTTGGAATTTAATGATAAAAAGGGAGCAAAGGTGATTAAAGAGGTATGCAGAAGCAGTCTCTTAACAAGCCCAGTTTCAAGAAAACTTCTCAAATATTTGATGTTGCTTTAAAATGTTTCTGTAAGCCTGTGAGAATGGGTATTCAGACCACATTCTTGTAGCTGTCGTGTAATGTTGTGTAAGGATACACAGAAGTAGCTTATGCTAAATGTTCTAAATTTTTGATGATAACAAACAACATGTGGGTACCTTCACTATAATAATCTTTGGATTTAATATCATGGTAGATAGTGCAGGATCTGTTATAAATAGCTGCTCTGTAAATGTGCTTCATTTCTTCAAAATCATGAGTGATGAGTGTCATCAGGGAAGGGATTTAACTCTGTTAAAGCATAGAAATTTTTCATACGAGTAGTTGTTGGGAGTATCAAATTGTTTGCTTGGCCAAAGCATTGGTTTCTGGCACAATTATGACTGAGTAGTATTAAGTTTTCGCTCAAAAATATTGAGTGGCATAACTTGATTTCTACCCATGTCTGTTTCTAATCTTATATCAAGCCCATTGAAGGTCCATTCTCTGACAGCTGCTGGTGGGAGCCATCTAACCCAAAAATGTAATAAGGTTGATGTGAAGTTTTCCAGTTTGTGTGCAGAGAATGTAATTATATAAGATATAAATCTGTTTTTAACAATTTTGATCTCTCTGAAATACTTTTCTGTAATTGACTTTAAACTTGCAAATTTCTTCATCTTATCCAGAGATACGAAATAACATTGCTTCAATTCCTGCTCAGTACTTCTATCTCTTTTTCTATCTCTTTTTCTTACAGGTTCTCTTAGAGGCTCAGGAAATGGCAGTAAGAAATCACAATGTGGAATTCAAATCAAATTTATATATAGGTAATCTATTTTTTTATTTTAGCACAGAAGACTGTCATCCTACTCCATGAAAAGTTTATCCTCAGTAAGACTTTGTTGTCTCAAATTGGCAGAAATGGATGAAATACAATTCCTAGTAAATATCTTTAGCAAAAAATCAAAGATATGCTTTCTACTTGCATCGCAACTGACATTAATTATCTTCATTTGTATACTTTCTAAATTCACGTTTTTGGTGCTTCTGAAGTGTTAGTTCAACTCCAGGATTTCCTCTCTATCAGTAATGCTACGGAAGATGGAGAAGGGAATAAATAATCAAATTAACTTTTCAATTGCAGTCATGGAATAATCCACTGGTAAGACAGTGTTCCAGTTGCAGATACATAGCAGTTTATTCTGAGATTGACTGATCTTCTCTCCACCCTTTTTCCTTCAGCTGAGTCACTGGCAGGCAAAGGCCACTATACAAAACGGATCCGTTACCATGGGAAAGGCATGTTTGGCATCATGAAAATCGTCAAGTGCCACTATTTTGTGAAGTTGGTGGAAGGGCCTCCTCCTCCTCCAGAGCCACGAAAGACTGGTTTTGACCAAGCAAAAGAATATGTGCAACAGCTGCGCAATAGAACCCTTGTTCACACACTGTGATGGACTTTTGTGACTGTATAGGTACTTCTTGTTTGACAAAGTAGTTATGTAAAATGAACCTAGAACGTTTTTATTATTTTTTGTTGCTGTTGGAGCTGGATGATGCAAGAATGATCCTAGATCTCTTATTTGTCAAGCCTAAGGTGTGCAAAAATGTTGGAAGAGCAGCAACAGATTCAACAGATGTTGCTTTTTGAGTTACTTGGACCACAGCTTTCAACTTCCCTGTGCTATCAAATCCAGAGTAAACAATACACTTAAAATTTGCTGGGAATTTTGTCATGCAGTTCATGCAACTCTGTTATGTACGTTCAGCTCCATTATTGTAGACGTGTACAATTGGCAGTCAGTCAGGTTGCAGGGTCACAAGTTGGAGTAAATTTACCAGAACTGGACATCGGAAAGTAGCCACAACAGTTCTACATAACTGGCATCAATCTTGGATTATCAGGCATCAATTAATGATTCCTTTATCTGGGCTGTAATGCCACCTCCTTACTGTCTCTGTTGTGCTCTGTAGGCACTGTGGGGAGTGAAAAATTCCAAGTACAGATTTTGGTGGTGTCAGTAGGTGGCATTGTTTAGTTTGTCAGGGAGGACGTGGTAGTGAAAACTTTCAGCACATTGAAACCATTCTGAATTCTGACCATGGCATTAATAGTCTGGTATGTGTGTGGAGTTCATGCTGTTCTCTGTGGAAACTCAATATGAGTAGTGAAGAGTGAACTAATTATACTGTCTGGGAACAAATCACTTTTGTAATGTTTTGGGAAGTAAAATGCTGTATGGATTTAATGTGGAATGGCTTGTTGCATACGTGAACCAGACTTCCAGTTCTATGGAAAAAAATATATGTATCCTATTTTTATCATTACTTTAATTAAGAGAAGAAGTGGTGAAAACATCTTCACACTCTCATGTTTTCACCCAGATGAAAATCAGATCATGGACATTGGCATACAAAGAATTATAGTTGCTTGTTTATGAAAATATCTGATATTTAGACCTTTTCATTCTGAGAGCATTAGTGGAAGATAGATTGCTTACCTCGTTTGGGTCTCTTTACCACACTGACTGAAAATTTCATCAGTGCTTGAGAGATCGTAAAAGGACAGTTTGTAAGGAAACTATTTCTTAGCTGTCCTAATGGAAGTGGCCTGCAGCTGTTTCTTTTGGCTCTTGAAGAAACAATCTTACAATCCTAGAGTGTTAGGGGATTGTGAAGTTACACAAGTATGTACATGGCTCCTACCACTAATGGTGCTTATTTGCCTTCTGTTCTTCTGTGGTGTGCTTGCAGGCGCAGTACTCGTTCTGATGGAGGGTTGTCAGTGATCTGGGAAAAGATTAAAAAATTGCAAGATAATCCATACTTAACAGCACTCATGATTTAAGCGTGTAAAATCTGACTTCTAGATAACCTCTTTCAGGAGAAAGCTGTAGATTTCCCTTCAAATCCCTTTGGACCTCCAGACAAGATTGTATAATTGCTCTAGTTTTCTCAGAAAACTGAAAGAGAAGTGAGAATGTGGCTGATGTCTTTTCCACCTTTATGATGCAGCTGGTGGCCCTGACACTTCCTTAAATGGCCTTCAGTCAAAAGGCAAGATGCCTGTGTTCTGTGGTTGTTGCTTGTCATTTCTGTCATCTTCCTCAAAACAAAAAATAGCAAGATTTTTTGGCCATGCTTTCAGGCCCCATCTTATCTGCTTCTTCCTTCTGAACGATGTATAACATAGTGGATCCTTATGGTATTGGCCAAGGAAGATCTGCATCCTTGGCTATAACAGTACATTGGGAGGTATAGTGAGATACAGAGCTTGGACTGACTTGATTCCTCCCCTTTGCTTTTAGGAGGGTAGAAATGTCTGAAGTGATTTATGGAGCCTGCCTGGATCTTGATTTCAGTACAACCTAGTGATAAAGTTTTATACTGTCAAGTTCTAAATATAAAATAAAAATGTTTTTTATTTATTCTGCTGTGCTTTCTTACTAATTAGTAAATCTACACTTGTGAGATAGATTCAGAAGGAAAGTACTGTTAATTGCAACAAGTCTTTTGCAGAAGATGATTGTGACCTCCAGTAAAAGAACATTCTTAAGCAAACTGTCACCAGACAGGATGGGAGAGGCACCTAGGCCTCTAGTTGATACTAATTTTATTAATAGCATCTGGGGCACTGTAAACTCACCACTTGTGTACCTGTGTGCTGATGTTACAGAAACTGCAGAAGGAGCAAGTATGCGTGAAGGTGTAGTAAGGCTTCAGGGAAATCTGAAGAGAGCAGAAATGTGAGCTGTGCTCAGCAGTGTGAGATTTAATTGATGAAAGCTTGAAAAGCTGCTGTTGGGCTGTTCATAAACATTTTGAAGTACTCGCTGAGAAAGTCAAAGTACTGCCAATTCGATGTCTTGCTGGATGTGTTATGAATTTTTTGTTTGTTTGTTTTTCATTTTTAGAACTCTGGTAATTACTGAGGAAATTATTAATGAATCTTTTCTAAATCTACCTTTGGATGTAGTGTTCATGAGCTTTCTGAAAAACACAGAAGATAAATCTAAGTGTGATTGAACAATGGCCTGTTGTGGCTGGGATGGCACGTGGCACAGACCAGCCCAGTGCTTCAGCTGTGCTGCAGTACCTGGAATAAACTTGACTGGACCAAGGTCATACAGCATAAAGCTTTTGATTAACTCTGCTTGCACAAATATGGGAGCTGGGTAAGAGTGCTGCCTCCTCAGCATCTAGATGCTTGGGACGTCCTTTGTTCAACTGGAGCAAATGCACAATAGGTATTGCTCTTTGCTTTCTGTCAGTTCCTGTGAAAACCCACCAATAGGATGCTGGAAGGTCATTTGCAAACAGTTCTTCTCTAGACAGGAATAAGGTTACTCCTAATGTCTTCAATGAACCATGTAAACAAAGTGTGTTATTTTTCACTGTATGATCTATAGTTATCTAGATCATACAGGGGCATAGAAAATGCCCCCGTTCCTAGCTTTTTAGAGAACAAGTCCTTATAGTTGAGTGACAGCTACCCAGCTCCACTTCAGCCACGTAATTTAAAATAATTACTAATTAAACAAAATACAAGACTGTAACAGTGCTAATAGTCACATGAGTTACTGTTTGCTGGAGCCTCACCTGGGGAAAGTAACTTGGAAGGAGGGGAAAGTTGCAGGAACTGTTGTCAGGAACTGACTTTTGAGTACTTAGACTGGAGTAAGGAACAACATATCTCTTGGGAGTAGACAGCAAATGCAGAGCTAATTTTATATTTGCTCTATCAACTCTCGTTTCAAGAAAGTTATGTGCTAGTACAGAGGGCAACCTGCCATTGAACAGAAGAAGCCAAGGAGAGAGTAACTTTATATCAGGCAAATTATGCATCCATCTCAGATTATTAGCTGAGCAAATGAATCTGAAAGTATGTAATATGCTTGAAGAGCTGAGTGTTCTTGCACCTAAAGACAAAATGTGGGTCAGAGCATCTGCTTTACTATTACATATAGGTGATATTTCTGTGTATTGCTTAATTATACAACCATCAAGTTTTGTATGGTAGAGTTAATTTTGTCGTATATGAATCTAAATTCACTTCCTTTTTTTTTCTTTTACCAAAAATAATGAACTGAAGCCTTAAACAATGTCTTCATGTGATGTTTTTATTTTAAATTAATTTGGAGTGGGACCATTTTTACACTGCATTGGGTCACTAATGTCTTTGTCTAATAATCATTTGAAACCTGCAAAGGCTGAAATCCAGCCACTTCTCTGGGAGCCTGTACTAATACTGGGCTGCTCTCTCTGTGCAAACTTCTTGCAGCCCTCAGCCTCAAATCATACTTTATTGATGTAATCCTTTGTTCTATGGCATGGTGCTATGGAGAAATGGTTGATTATCACATTGTAGCTGTTGCTGTCAGCTCACCCTGTGAAGCTGCTTTTTGGCAGGATGAACAAGCCTAACTTCAACCTTTCTTCATAAATCCAGTTCTCCAGGCCTTGTGCTGTACATTTCTAGTTTTTTCCCCTCTCTGTTGCTCCGGGGAACCTGAAACCAAATTTGATGTTCCAGGTGCAGCTCTGCCAGCACTGACTGGAGGGGAATATCTCCCTTCTGTCCGCTGGCCATGCTTCTTATAGAGATATGTATGCAGGTTGTTGTATCTGTGAGAGAGTGTTGTTGGCTCGCATTCAGCCTGGTGCTCATACAACTCTCAGGTCCTTTTCAGATTGCTTGTCAAAATTGCAGCAGGTACCTTTGACACTTGTGTTTCTCATTGCTTTTCTATATACGCTAGTGCAGACTCCTTCACCACCAGGAAATTATTCCGCTGTGTGGGTGATGATCTTTCTTTCTTTCCCAATAGGAGAGCTGCAGAACTGTGTTCTGGCTTCTGTTATTAATCAAACTCTTAGGCAAACTAAGAGTGGAATAAAAGCATTTATACATGTTGTGGTTAAACTCCATCAGTGTATGCAGCTCAGAGGCAATGAAATGTGTCTTCATCTCTCCTGTCGATTATCTTTAGAGGAAGACAAACATAGGACCTTACTGTATGCTGGCCATGTAAATTAAAGCTTTAATTAAAAGAAAACAGAGTGGACTATGAGGTGTGCTGCACTGAGCCATTAAAAAATTGCTGTTCAGGACTAGCTCTTCAAATGTCCCCAGCACCTTGCCTTAGTTTTCCCCACTTAAAATTCCCCATAGTGCATTAAGATGAACTCAGTAGTTAGTAAATTTTCCCTTGTGTGGTTTACAAGCTCAAGGTTATGGGCTAGAACAAGTAGTGTCATGCTATAAATCAGGTGTAATGGAACAGCTTGAGAGCATGCACAGAAGTCCTGTTTCCCCTTGTGCAGTATGTGTCCTAAAATTCCAAAGGTAGTGTTGGCACAAACCCAGAAACCCCCCAAAAGGCTAATTATATTATTAATAACGAGCCTCATCCTACTACCCTCTCTCATCTGAACTGAAGAATACTGGAAAGCGCTTGCAGGGCTGCAAATCAGAAAAGAAGCTTTCAGGAGGAGGAGGAGGCAGCTGAACTCCACTGTGGTGCAGCATGGATGATGGGACCCCTGCCTCTCAGTAGGTCTTGTCAACATGCTTTGTCGTAACTTACATGGCTTTAGTTTTCAGCTCCTCTTTATGGTTCCTGTTATTAAAACATATCTCTTATGTTTCTTTTTTTCAGGCCTAGAGTGTGTCTCCAGTTCAGCGAATCTAAGTGATGATTTGTCTTTAAACAAGAACTTGCCTGCACAGCTGGGAAAGCAGCCCTGAATTAGGTAGCAGTCCAGGCTCAGGGCTTGACTCAGGTCAGTGCTGTGTCTGAAGACCTTCTGGATGGGTTCTTATTCTGTTGGCTCAGAGCATGAGCAGTAGCAACATGGGACCCTCTGTGCCATGACAGAAGCACAGTGAACCTACAGCACAGTTATTGCAAGAAAAAGACAAACTGCAAATATTGAACCTTGAGCTGGAAAGGTTTGGTCACTAGGGATGATCTCAACGTAGTGCTTAGATAACAGCAGCAGCAGAACTCTTTTGTAATAGTAGACCTGTAGCTATGCTCTATGTATCTATGTTTTGTCTTCCTTGTTCGCTTGGGAAGCATCCCAAGATCTTGGTTTGCAGTAACCTTTTTAAAATAATACTTGCTAGGTTTTTATCCTGCCTGTGGCCATTGGTGTTAGATCAGTGTTAGAACTGTGGATGAAGACACATGGCCCTTCTTGACTGAGAGATTGCATGTGAAACAACTGGAATTGGAGAGTGGTGCAGTTATGTCTCTTACATACAGAATATATAGAAGCTTCTATTGGAGATCATAGCAATACCATCTAAACTATTGGCTAAATAGATACAAACATCTGCATTTGTCTCTAGTATGCCATGTTTCAAAGCAGAGAATCTCATTCATTCTCATCAAGCAGTTGATTTTTCAAGGATGCTCTTAATTTTTATTTTCCTTTTATTACCTGTCTCTTGCTATGCTCACTACTTTTGTGGGGATAGGTGCTTGGGAAGCAACTACTATTCATTCTTTGTCCTGTTCTTATTCTGGCAATGTGTTGTTGTTTTAAAGGTTTTCAGAGTCTGTGCTGGGAATGCATTTCTTTTCCTTATATTTTGAGAGATTTCTATTTTTAATGGGTATTTATTTTATCTATCACATGGTAGATTTATTAATTTGATAATCTGTCAGTAACACAGGCAGTCGTTTCCGGTCCTGATCTTGCATGCAGGGATTTCATCCATTTAACAGTTTGGCTTTTGGATCAGATAGCCATTGGAGGTAAATCCTGCAGTGTGCTGAGTGCTCTGAACACCACCAAAACTGGGAGCATTGGTAACTTGC